ATCGAGCTCTTCTTGCCGTACGGCGGTCTTCCTGATGCGTGCCGGCACAGAGCTCTGTGCAAGCCGTCCAACGTGATCGTGACGAGTGTATCGCTTTGACGGATCGACCGTACTTGTTATCAAGACTGATATGACGTACACAGTGACACATCAGACGACACATGCTCTCCCACCCGCCGGGCCGCAAAACGCTCTCGACGAGAGCCACAAGAAGCCGTCCGCACAGCAAGCCGCTCGGTCGAACACGTTGCTCGCTCGATGCCGGCGAGTGCATTGCGCACGAGGTAGACGGTGGCGTAGCTAACATCACTGACGAAGACCGTCCGCTGGCGTGAGCGGCGGCGATCGGTCCCTAACCTGCGGTCCTTCACCGCAATCGGTCCTTCGCGCTCGTCCCTAACCCAAAAAAGCACGATTCTGAAGTTGGGCCCTCAGGCCCATGTAACGATGTGAGTTCTTCGTTGTGCGGGCATGTGAGTGTACACACAGTCCTGAGAGAAATAAATAAAGAAAGAAAACAGAGAAACAGGGGACAAACACTCATGGACCCCAGTTGATTTCTTTTCCTCCTCTGGCAGGCGCTGGACCGACGAGTCGGCGAGGGTCGCCACGCTGCCCGAAATGAGCGCGCGCGACCCACCACATCGCGTTCTTCTCGGCGTCATGTCCAACCCTGTCAAGCCCGCAATGCGCGCCCAGCAGCGCAAGTGGGCCGGCCACTTCCAGCACGCAGCCAACGTGGACGTGCGGTTTGTTCTGGGCACCACCTTTTTCAACAACACGCAGCGGCCTCCGCCCGAGTGGGACGAGCTCAAGGCGGAGGAGAAGGAGCACAAGGACATCATCTTTGTCGAGGGCCGCGAGAAGCTGCCGCACGTCGGCGTCGTCACGGAGAAGAGCGCGTCGTTCTGGCTCTCGCGCGGCGCCGAGTCGCCGGGGTACGAGTGGTACTGCAAGTGCGATGACGACACGCTCGTCCACCTCTCGCGCCTCGGCGAGACCCTCGCCAACGTGACCCGATCGCTCGGCCGCACAGCCCACGTCTACTTTGGCCACCTCAAGTGGCGCGGCTGGGAGGCGGGCCACCGCTTCCAGGCGTGCGGCGGCGGGTGGGGCGACTCGGCCAAGACGCTGAGCGATATCCTCGGCGGCGGAGGCATGCCCGACGGATCGCGCTACCCCCCCTGCCCGCACGCCGCGGGTCCGGTGCCCTACATGAGCGGAGGCATGGCCTGCGCGACTAGAAGCGGAAGACGCGCTCTTGTCTCCCAACCAGCGCTCGAGAGGACGCGGACTCCGCTGCATTCGGTATTCCGCTGTATCCAGCGCATTCGCACCCCTCGTACTCACGCGCTGCTCTCCGCACACGCAGGTCTGCATGTCGCGCCCCT